GCTTTTGAAAAGGTCATAAACAAGAACAGTAAAAATCAGGCTTTAATTAAACAAATCATAGGGGATGTATCCACTCTTCAGCCTCTCTTAACAGGGAGTTTAGGCTTGTTTGAAATGTTTATTGCTACTCTGACTGAGAAAGAACCTTCAGGCAGTTCATAATGCTCCAATAAATCCTGCATGCTCAGGCAATTTGGTGATTCATTGACTCCTTCTAGTAGGTTGATTTCCTTTAATGATTGCTTTGTGCCCTGCTGTAGAAGTCCCAGATGTCAGGAATGTACAGGATCTGCCAAAAGCAGACAAAAAGGCTTTATTTTTTTTCCAGAGTTGAAAGGGAGCAGCAGTAGAAGCAGCTCTCTGCTGTGAGCTCTGAACCTTCATTAATTACAATTTCATTTCATTGGAAACGAACTAAAAATGAATAAATTATAGAGTCCTTAGGAATACAAATTGTCAGTCAGTCATTTCTGTATCTTTGTCATCTTAGTCATTTTAGCTTAGTCAACTTCTGTATCTTTTTTTCGAGTGCTTTATTATTTCTTGGCCACCTGCATGTATATTTTTTATATAGGAAGAGGGGCGTTCTTGCAAATAGGTGCTTTAAGTTGGTGAAATATACACAAACCTTTTTATCTTCACTTTCCTGCACGCTGCTTGCTTTTTACATGCACCTTTCCTTCAGCCATCAGTGGATCTTGCTGCCTTTTCTGTCTTGCTGCAAACGTAACAAAATCAGGTGTTTCTTTCATGTTACTGCTGTCTTATTTCCCACAATAATGAGCACTGAAACTCTATGCTTTCTGCTGTGATTACAGAGAGTGCCTGAGGGTGTCTATCTTAATATAGACAAATGCAGGTTTCCTTTGTGCTGCACTTTGAAATCTCGTGTAGTGAGCTTGGATATTGATGTAAAAAAGACCCTGAGGAATGAGCTGCATTGTATCTTCTACTGTTGGCTCTGACTTGCTTTCATAATATACTGGAAAGCGATAGATCTCAAGAGAACTTAAGTATCATTACGTGCACCCTGTTACTTGCTTTCAGGAGGTGTTTCAGAAGGAGCATGAGAGTAACACCATGAAGACCTGGGCCCTCCGTGCAGCAGGCTGGCTGACAATGTTTGTAGGCATCAGCCTGATGACGCGGATTGTTTACACTTTGGGTAGGTTGGTGACAGAAGGCTAAAATGATTTAGAAATAGGATCATAATCTGTAGTGTCCTATGTTGCTCACATGTGAAATGAATTTCTTTGGAGGCCAGGAGGAATCTTGTTTCTCTGATCTTTGGTTGGATTCAGTCTGAAAGTTACTACAAAAACTGTAGATAAACAGCAGCTCAGCACCGTATGGCTGCTTTGTGAAGATAAATGACCTCTTACCTCTCTGCCAGTCTCAGAAGCTCCCAGCCCTGTGCTACCTGAAATTAGAAGCCAGAGCACAAGTTGAGCTGCTTCTTTCAAGTCTTGCTCTAGCTTCTGCAGTCCACCCACTGTCTACACACATATACAAGTGGTCTCCCCTCAGCAGGTCTTAATTAGTGGTTACATAATAACTTGTCTTTGTATTCAGCGGTACTGTGAGTGCTGCAGAGAAAGTTCTGGTTTTTCTCTTTGATTTAGAGGAATGCTGGAATAAAAGCTTACAGAAAAGTAGGATGATGCCTCAAACTTTGAACATCAAAGCTATCGTTTTTCTTTAGTATTCTGTGCACTGTTTTTTATTGTTATCTGCATACAGGCAAATGCAAGATCTATTATTGCCAGAAATTGCTTTTAGCCTGCAAATCTTCATTGCCATCAATTTGTTCCATAGCTGCAAGACTAATAGTCTGTGTTGCCTCATAAGCCTTAATAAGACTTCAGACTTAATTTTGCATGAATTCCTGTCTAAAGAGATGAGGATGCTCTTGTCTTAGATGTTCAGGTGTTACTTATTTATCAAATGCCTTGAGGATGCTCTCCTGAAATGCCTTATGCAGTGCCCTACTTGAGTTTGATTGCAATAGTTGGTGCGAATCCTTGGCATAAGCAAGGAGTCCTTGCAAATGACAATCAACTGTTTTCTTCCTTTAATTCTTTCTGCAGTGGACTGGTTTCCTGTTGTTCGAGATCTGGTTAACATCGGATTGAAAGCTTTTGCCTTCTGTGTGGCCAGCTCACTCTCACTTCTGACTATCTCCATTGGCTGGCTCTTCTATCGCCCTGTCTGGGCTCTGCTGATTGGGTTGCTCTCTGTAGTTCCAATTGTGGTCGCAAGATCCCGGATTCCACCAAAGAAGCATCAGTGAGAAAGAGGTACCCGGGTTCTGCACTGTATCCTGGTTAGAAGCTTTTTAAGTGCATTTGTGTTCTGGTTACATTGCTTACAGTACATCGTGGTTCAGCAGTGTGAGCCCAGATTTGGAGAGGGGTTTGAGTGTGGCTGTTGATAGATGTGTTGTCTGTGAAAAAGATTACTATGGAATGCTACCAGTAGGAATTCAGTGACACTGACTTCAGGAAAAAATAACAAAAACATTGGGGAGCATCTGTATTCATTATAAGTCAGTGTAAAAGTACCATTTATCTTTCATCTGTTACTAATTCACTCTGATTTGAGAACTGGCAAATTCTCATTGGCAGGTGGGGCACCTTGTTTATTGTGGACAAAGTGCCAGCTTCATCGCATGGACTGGTGTGAAATCCTTGGGAAATACGTGTGTGTACCTGCCTCTGACGGTCCCTCCTTCTGCTTTCTCACTTGTACAATCATGTATACTGCGTTGGCAGTGTTTGAAAGTGCATTGTTAAAGGAAAAACAACTTTTGACACAATACTTCAGTAACGTGGATTCATTTGAGCTGGGGATTTTGAAAGTAACTTGGAATCTCCAGTGGCCAGGTTAGCAGTGCTCTGAGGCAGGGAAGATATGTCAGAGAGCAGAGACTTTTCTCAGTTTTTAAAGAGGTCTGAAGCTGTTCTTGGGTAAGCACCCGAAATGGTGGAGTTCTGTAAAAACACTGAATTGCTCTTATTTAAGGAGATACTCAGAGGTCACTTGCCTTTAATTTTAAAAATAAAACCTGCTGCCTTGACGTACAATTGATTAACTTCTATTGTTGAATACATATTCTTTAAAATACTTGGTTTTGCTGTATGTAGTTTGTCTTTTTGAATTTTGCTTGCCAAGAACAATGAAAATATTCCATGAAATTAAATAATGAACACATTTCTGCCTGATTAGTTTTTGTAGACATAGTAGCTTGAATTTTGAGCTTTATATCATGTTAATACAGCTTCCTGTTGTGTTGCAATGGCTCAAGCTTACAGGTTTCTGCTGTAAATAGTTCTTGAGTTGAGGCGATCTTGTTGTGTTTTGAAGTCTCTCTAGATAGCTCATTTGGCTTCCAGGTGTGCCCTATCAACATGTTTTTCCTTCTGTAAGTACACATAATTCAGTACAAAAATGTCTTCAGTGAATACATTTTTTGAAGGAGAATTACGACTGTATTCCCCATACCAAAGGAAATTTGCTTCTATGTATGTTCAAGTTAATGTTTCCAAAAAATGTTACTACATGGGAGGTCAGGTTTATAAATCATAAACATTTTGAGATGTAGTAATTTATGTTTAACTTCAATTTCCTTTAGTTCTTATCATTCTTGTGGTCTCGTGTTTTCAATTTCACCCTTTCTGCTGGTGAAAGCAGCAGCAGTGAGTGAAAGGCAGGGCACAAAGCTGACCTGTGTTAGTGACCCAGCAGTCTCTATCTGCTGCTCTTTCTCCATGCACTCCACTGGAGAGAAAAACAGAAGTTTTGAACAGCTGTTCTACCAATGATGCAGGAAACTAATCAGCATTAGCATATTGGAGATGGTGCAATTTTCTACAGAAGTGCTGAGCTTTTTGTATATTTAATAAAACACCATTTTCAGAAAGTTGGTCTGTAGGCTTCTTTTTCATTACCTTTAAGCACTGCGTATTTCATGTCTAGGAACAGCAGCCAAGTGCGTGGAGGATTAGTTTGTAACTCTGGATGAACACGTTTTCCACTGTTGGTGGAGGCAAATGTGCAGATGGGTTTTGTGTAACCTGTAACCTCACAGCTGTCATCTGGTCCATATGCTTGATGATAAGGCTGATTCCAGCCTACCAGTGGTGTTTTTACTCCTCTTCTTTGCTCTTAAGAAATAGCTTCCTTGCCTCCATGGGATCATCTGAGAAGTATGGTCATTTGACTTGACTGGAATCAACTTTTTTAAGAGAGAGTGGAGGCTTACTTATGCATTCAGCAGTTTAGAACATTTTCATCTTACATGCTCATCTACACACAGAAACATGCAAAACTGAAGAACTTAATGTTTCCCAGGTTAGGTATCCAGGTGGAGCCAAAGCCCTTTCATTGCACGTACACAAATATTTCTATCGAAACAACTGAAGCAGTATCTTCCTTACCTGCTTAGCACAATCTGACAGAATGTGTATCTGCCTGTCAATAACTGTTCCCTTCTGCTTTGCTCTCCCCTAAACTGTATCTACTCATCTTTTGCATGCTTGGTTTGAGAGAGCTGTCTGAACTCATAACTTTGTGCATTTAAGAACGGTCAGGAAGTGCTGAGTCACTGTAGTACAGCTGCTGCCAGCTCCCTTTTGAAGCAAATGAAACATTACTGATGCCAGCTGGACTTGGATCCTTGCATTCAAAATACTCACAGTGTACCCTGCGTAACTGTGCGACCATTGGCACTGAAGGAACTCTGGTCTCTCCCATCCCCTGAAATTTCATCACTTGATGTGAGATTTTTTTTTCCTTGAAGTCTTCTGAGCAATCATGCCTACCCACCAAACCCAGTGTTTTTGTTTTAGAAGTCAGTGGTAAAAACTCAAAAAGATGAGCCTTCACATCAATTCTGCAGTATCCTGGGACCTGTTTGTGATTTCTAGAATAGCACTCTTATAGTGCTTAGTTGTATGAGAGAATCCTTACAGGTAAACTGAGCTGCTGCCAGAAGAGAGGAGTGATAGCATTAATTAGTTTATTTGTTCTACAAATGCAGTACAAAAATATGTATTTTTTTAGGGTAGTTAAATGAAAGCCATTTTCTTGCATATGTAGCTTTTCTCTGTAACAGTATTCAGCAACAAGTAGACTGGATTCACCTCTATTTTTAAAGAGACAGTGTATACTTTTTTTTTTTTTTTAAATACAGCAAAAGACAGAAGAGTATTTCTGCCTGTATAGACTTCACATTCCTCTCCTAACAGTTTTTAATTGTTTAGGTACTGGATAACATTTACAAAAGCTGAGTTTCACTGACTTTCACTTCTGCCAGTAACACCTGGCCCAGATCTACATGTTTGGATCCAGAATAAAACTAAATAGTCTTGATAAAACAAAACTGAAACAAATGTGTATATTTTTGAGTGACTTAAGATGACATATTTAATCTTAAGTTTGCCATGAAGACAGGGCTTCTTCTTTCTAATGCACAAGATACCTGCTGCAGACTGAAAAGCCAAAGTTGAGTTTTCATAAAAGGCATGTGTATTCTTTAGAAAGGAAGTTTTCAGGTTCATCCAAATCTTTATTGCAGGCTGCACACCACATGAGGTATTCCCCCTCTCTGTGATGCTGAGACTAGAACTCTACTCACTACTGATTTGGATAAGGTCTGATTAAAACACCAAAGAGGATGTAGTGGTCTCTTGACTAGCTTACCACAGACTGTTAAAAAGCAGCTGCATACTTCAGTTCTGGGCAATCGGGAAAAAAATGGTGAGGAGAAAATTGGAAAGAGGCAGTGCTAATGGAAGTAGTGCCTCAGAATGCATTTGTTACAGTGCTGAGTGATACAGAGGAGCACAAAAAGCCCAGCTGTGTACAGATGGTGATCTTGGAAAGTACAGCTGCACATCTGCTTCTCCTAAGTTCAAGGATTAACAAATGAACTTAATTACCCACAATAGCAAAAGAGATTCTTGGTGCTGAATTTGGTTGATTCCCTGATAGCTCAGAAATGCAAATGAACAGAAGACTAAGTCTTTAACTGGCATAGGATGCTTTTGTTGTGACGGTTCTGCTCTTGCGTTGGGAAAGAGCAAGAAATGCTTGTACTTATTACAGTTTCTCAAAAGGAAACAACTGTGCTGCTTCTTCCTTCTTTTCTCGCTTGCTTTTTCTGGTTGTCTTCTCTTTCTGCTGCTCTGCCTGGCGATTTCGGGGCCAAGAAATTTCCACATCTCCTCCTGCAGTCCCTGAATTTGGGCCTTCTTCATCAGAGGAGAATCCTGCTCCTTTCTCTGTCTCAGGTGCTGATGGCTCAGTCTGGAGAAAAAAAAAAAAAAGAAAAAAGAACAGGCATGAAAATGGAAAATAATCATTTGTAGCTGCTCCTTTCTAAAAAGGCTCATTTTCTCTCAGTGACATTCCAGAAGTTGAATGCTCTGGTTTGGGCTTCTCGCCCAAAGCAGTGTGTTTCTATTTCTAGGTGTCAAGCACTCTTTCAACAACAACCTACGTATTTTTGATCAGAGATGAATAAAAATAAACTAGCTTTAAAAAGATCATGCTTTTCTAAGTAAGGAAAGGATTAAGAACTAAACCGTCTGATTTCATAAGAAAAGAAAAAAAGTAGCCCACTGACCTTGCTAGCTATATACTTGGCTTGGAGGAAAAGATCCAGGAAGGGAGATATGTCAAAGTAGAAGAGCAATATACAAACCATGATGCTTTGGGCAAACACTGATCTCTTCTTAAGCAATAATTAATCCTTCATGGACATGACAGTGTTGGTTTTCTGGTGTAGGCTTTTTTTAATTGCTAGTCAAACATTAAGAGGAAAGAGAAAACTTCAGAATGTGCTCCTCTGGTAGACAACACACTGGAGATGCTAGAAAAAATTCCCTTGGTACAGAAAGCGAAAGCACTAATGGAGATGCAGAATACCTTGATGGAGTAGCGCTGCTTCAGTCTCTCTCTAATGAGAAGCCCTTTTGTCAGCAACTTCCAGTTTCCCAGAGCTCTCTTCTCACGCTTCTTTTTGTTGTCATTGAAAAGAAAAAATACTATTTTAAGTTCCAATGTATCAACACTCGCAGAAGACAGAAGTTTAAAGACTTTAAAATGAAATTGAAAAAAAAAAAAAAAGAACCACAACTCAACAGCACACCACCAACATAAATGTGTCACATTGAAAGATTATAGGCTGGTAGGATTCTTAGGAATACAGTGTATTGGTGACAACGTATCTGCTACATACATGAATTACTGTCCCTTTCTGAAGTAAATTACACTGGAGCCTCCTTCAGAAGTTTAACATGTATGCCTTACTTTTGTTTCTCAGCAGCTATGGAAAGCTATTCCAAAGTACACTCTATTTCAGAGATTGCTGCACACTTGTTTGCACTGCAGTGCTAAAAGAAACCCCCAAATGAAGCATTCGAGGAAATGCAACCTGCCTCTCTCTTCACAGAGCTCTGTCTGTTACATATACAGCCTGCCTTTGACTGTTTACAGCTTAAATTGAATTAAGCAGTAATAAAGTGCCTGCAAAAATAATTCTCACCTCCTTCTCCTTCTTTTCTATTTCTGCTTGTTCGTTCTCCCAGGCAGCAATCAGCACCTCTTTATATTCTTCACAGACAACATAGCCATCAGTACTAGGAAGGAAAACAGAATCCCCTGTCAGCTACTAGAAGAAAAAAGAAAGGGAACAAATGCTTGCTGACCCCACCAAACCAAAAGCTGCTGACAGAACAGGCTATTTGTCTCCTAGGGTGTAAATGTGTAATTTATCACCCATTCCACCTCTCTCCCCCTTGAAGTGCAGACCCTATGAGTGTATAAGGTCACTTCTGTGTGCCAGGGCCATTGACTCTACTACCACAGGTAGCACAACAGAGAAGGATGTGTCGTCCATGGCACAGAGTATACAACTTCTGCACAGCATCAACATTCATCACCTTAAATAAAGCACCTTTACATACACTGCGTGTGAGTAGCCACCATGGAAGTCAAATCCAGTGACAGCTTGAGCACAGTCAATGTCCAACTTCCGTGCCAATCTGTTCAGGTTGGGGAGCCTAAGCTGCACACAACCAACAGGTAACATAGAGGGCAGGAACAGATAGACGTTTCCATATTCATTCCGAGGAACCTGGTATTGCAAAATGAAAGAGAAATGATGACACTGCTGCCTTCTGGAGAGAGGCAAAAATCTCTGCTTCAATTCAAGGTCTCTCCCCTCTTTCTGACCTGCTGCATTCTACTCTGGTATTCTATTCGTATTCATACGACAAGGCACAGGCTAAATTTAACTGTGTGGTTGTCTCCTAATTATGTTCTGTGACCTGGCCTCATTACTGTGGCTGTAATGCTGAGAACAAGCAAAACAAAGATGAAGTCGGAAATTACATTGATTAGAAAGTTGGACTTAGGAATAAAAGGCATCGATGAAATTTTCACCGTTCCCTCCTGGGTTTATTTACCTCAGAACTCTTTAAGCCCAAATCCAGCTATTATTGACTGATCTCAGCTTTGAAACGTGCAATTCCCAAAAAATAAAGCCCACAGCTTCATAAGAAGCAGTTCCTTTAACACCAGCCCTCTGCTTTCCCAGCTACCTTTCCATCCACTGCTATGGGTGGCTGATACTCCTCTGTCTGCCAGCGACCAAACAGCGCCAGGTCCGCTTTGTCCCGGTTTGCAGGCTCTGCAAGGCGTGCCTTCCTTGCCTGGTTGGAATAGCCCTTCACCATCTGTGCAAATACAGTGATCAAACTTGTAACGGCACAGAAACAAGCTGTTAGGGATTTCAGACTTTCCCAGGATAGTAAAGGAGAAGACTCTGGGAAAGAAATGATGCCTACTTCCTGTCTTCAGTATTTATCTCTCATAAATGATATCCCAGCTACTGTGCACTAGGGAGCTAGATTCTCAGTTTAAGTGAAAGTCGTAGGATGCCTTTAAAGAAGGTGAAAAGGGTGCAGTTCTACAAGATACCCTTGAGGTAACGGAATCACAACTCAGATACCACATGCAAGCAAGAAACCCACATCTGCTAACAGAAAGAATAAAAAAAGAAACCAACAACAAACAAAGCTAAGCTTGAACTTCAGAGAGCAGATGTTGCACAGGAGGAAGCCAAACCCTCTTACTTTGTAAGGCACTTCTCCAATCCTCACCACTCGAGCCTGCTTAAGCCAAGTGTCCTTGGAGTGGAGCGTGTGTACACAGTCTCTAAAAAGACCAAAAGAAAGCAAAGACAAGCATCAGAGACTTCCAAACTGTTATTCACATGCTAGGAATGGTTAAAAAAAAAAAAAAAAAGTGCACCTAAATGGTATGCAAATTCTGTCTGAGTAACTAAATGTCTCATGCTGTCTGTGCATGTGGCCTGTGTCTACTGCAATACCACTGTGGTCAACACACAAACTAGCTCTAATTAGTTACAAAGATCACAGACACACACAGCTGTGCACCACTCACCTCGAATAAACAGCCTCTCCCCTGCAGTACCCTAGGATAGCAGCTGACTCAGGATAGATGGCCTGATATTTCAAGAGATGCCTCTTCAGTGCATACAGAGGGTGGTTTTTGTACTCTCCAATTGCTGTTGGTAGAGGCTGATCTTGAAGCTTAACCTGAAACTTCAGGAATTAAGCAAAGAGAGAGTTATTTCATAACTACGTTGCACTAGCCTTTTCAGAAATCAAGAATGATCATAGTGTGGATTAATGGAAAAAATATTAGAAAAATCATCAGATGAACTAAGGGACCAAAGAACTCTTGTTGCAAATAGACAGCTGTGCACCCACTTCTATGTATCTTAAAGAATCTGCACAAGAGTAACACCAGGCTGCACAGAACCATGTCATTAAGTTTCCAACATGGGCTGCCCAGTGCTTTTGCTGTCCAGATTTCTCTAAACAGCTTCCATTTGATTATTACTTTAATCTTATCATTGCATGCTCCCTTTAAAACTTACTCATTCTGAATATTTCAAGCTCAAATACAGCCCTCCTTCCTCATGGAACCATTCCTAACGATTTTTGCATGAATGGAAATCCAGGGACTGGACCTATGCTAGTAAATGTCCCATATAACTTATCGTTTACCTCTGTTTCCTCCTTCTTGTCTCTGTCTGCAAAGGGACTTTTATATGGCTGCAGTGTGTCTTCCCACCACTCAGGGTCCACACGTTTCTTCCTTGTCATGGTCATCCACACTGGGTCGTATCTTTGTGTCACATCCTTGACACTCCCATCATTGTCAAATCCCACAATATAGGAGAGTGGCTTTGTGGCATATGTGAAGCACTGCTGGGGCTGGCCAACAATGCCATGCACACAGTCTACACACACCCACCTGTCCTCACGTTCAAGGAAAACCTCTAGCCACTGGTCTGTGCCAACCACTTTCTGTACCATCTGCTGCCCATCATCCTCATCACTGGAAATTATTTTGTTTCTCTTTCTCTGTGCCTGAGGCAAGGTTGGAGCTGTGCTTTTTGCTGGTCTTGGCTCAGCTCCCAAAGAATTTCTGGATAGCCTTGATTCCGAAGTCTCACTTTTGGGGCTTTTTATAGTCATTGCCTTTGATTTCTGGGCACCTCGTGAGCTTCTCCACTTTTTAGAGACAGTTTCAAAGTCCTCATCAGAGATATCACTTTCCTCTCCTGAAATCTCAAAGTCAGAAACACTGCCCTCATCACTTCCACTCTCTTCTTTGTAACACACTTTGGAGGCCACACGTCTCCGCCGACTGTTCTTGGTTCTGACCGGCACATCTTTTTCCCCTAAACCACTGTCCTCATTTCCAGTTTCCTTCTGTTCCTTATTGCCTGTTGTCAATTTTGACTTGTGTGTCCTTTTGGTCTGAGCACTTTTTGTTTTCTTTGACTCCTCATTGTCTTCTTCACTCCCTGATGACTTCTCATCCCGTTTGGCTTTTTTGCAAGGGCATTTTTTTGCCACAACTTTGGGTGTTGTGCCTGAGCTCTCCTGCCCCTCAGAGGTACTGCTGAGCGACTGCTTCTTGGATGTGCTTTTTTCCTGCAAAGAAAGAGGCTAGGTCACTTTTACCATGCCTAAGAATACAAAAAAAAAGAGAAAAAGACTGAGGTCAGCATAAAGTAAATACAGACCAAAGACTGGCCAGAAACACGGTCAATTTATCTTAGGGACTTGAAAACCTCAGGCAAATGACTGAAGGAAGATGTCCCCCAGCAGTATCTGCTGTGAAAAATTTAAAGAAATTTAAAATCACTAAAGCATGAGAAGCCTTTGCTTAAACATACACAACAGGAGGTGGTTTGTTTTTGTTTTAAAAAACAGGAAACCTAAGGATTTGCATCTGCTGCAATATAGACAAAAAACAGTGTCGTAACAGTGCTTCATACAGTGATTCACCTCAAGTTACAACCAGGAAGCTTTGTTGCTCCTTCTGGGGAGCAACCAATTAGGGAATTTTACACACCAAACAAAAACTACCTTTGCCTTCGTCTCCTTGAGAGGAATGGGCTGTAAGGACAGCACCAGGCGACACAGCAGCTGCAACGCCCTGAGAATAATTAAAAATATCTGCAAAAGATAAAATAAACCATGTTCAAACTTTTTTTTTTTTTTTTTTTTTTTTTTAAGGTATATGAAAAAACAACTTGAAACTCTTTTACATCCTGGGTTCTGTCAGAAACCATTTTCGTTCTTGTCTTTTACCCAGTGCTGTAGACACCAACACAGATGTGTAGCCCAGCTACTACAGCATCAAAGCACTGTATTGTCTTCTCTGACTCTTATTTATGTTCAAACAGTGACAGAGCTCCTGCTGTTAACTCACAGAAGAGCCAAAGCCTAAAGAGGCTAAGTGACTCACCCTGATGGAGCAGGCAGTACGTCACCCAAATCTATCTATCCTCCACCTGCCTCCCATTCTTGACGCAAATTGGGTAAGATGTCTCTAAATCCACCCTCCCAAAGGTAGCCAAGGCCAACTATATACCATCAACTGAACCCAGAAGAAACACCAGCAATTCAGAGAATGTCATTACAGTCCCAGCTGAGTGGCTAATAGCTTAGAACTGCCAACTGCTTTCCTGCATGGGAGTCAAAAGAAGCTGCCATTAGTGAGTGTCTAAGCAATCCTTGCTTTGCCTTTACCTCCTACCACAGAAAGTGACATTTTGTACTTACACAGCATGCTTGCAAAGACATCACAAGAACCACTTCCTGATCTGCAGCACAGAAGCTGCAACATCCCACTACATTAGCAACAGGGCACAGCTGCAAGCCACACACCTGCAAAGCAGCAGCTCTTTCAAATGTCCTGTCAATTTCATCTCCTGTTTCTCCTTCCCTTGATTGTTCTACCAAAATAATCCAAGAATTTTCTTACTCAAATTAGTACTACAAGAGAAACCTATAAACTGGTTTTCCTTGACTTATACTACTAAAAGCAATACGAAGAAGCCATAGCATGCTTATAAACAAGTAGTTCTATGCACTATGCAAAGCCATCCATGGAAGATAAACCATGCAGTGGTACCAATAAGAAGTAGAGGCTTCAGTTTTAGTACAGTTCAAGCTGAAGAATTTAATCGCAGAAGGATTCCAGATAAAAACACAAAACAAATTAAAAAACAGGAATCACCTCAGTCACCAACCTGTTTCATCACATTGATTCCTCAAACACCACTTTGTTCACAATGATCTAGCATCCAAATTCAGCAAACAACCCTGCAGTTTCCAGTCACTTACATGAACCAACTCTTCATCATCTCGTGCAGCATAGATGGCAAAGCGCCTCTCCAAGGTCGACTGAAGGGGCTCTCCTTCTTCACTGGAAAGTTCATCATTGACAGTGAAGGTTCCAACAAACCTGAAATGTGAGATACCCATTTATTGTCTACTGCTGTGAACATACTCCTAAACTTCACAGTTCATCCCTTCCTTCTTTACTAAAAACAGTCTTGTGTTTAAAACAAAAAAAATCAGTGAAGAATTGTAATTACATGTACCCGTGTCCCTGAACCCTGGCTCTATATTCTATGTGATAGTAGGACTAGCAGAGAGTATATTACCATTTCACCAAGTTGGAAATGTAGAGAAGGTCCACTTGGCCTGCAGGAACTTTTGTGAAGTGTATGGGGATGATGGACAGACCAATGGCATGAAGATCTGGCTGGCTGCAGATGCTGTTCCTATAGAAACCATTTGCTAATAAACACAAGAGGTGAACCTGAGAGAAAAAAGTTTCTATAGTGAGTTCACAAGAGATGTTCTTTGCTGGAACTATTGTCCACGGTGATGACCAGGATGCCTCTAATGCTCCTTTTGACAGAGACAGGCAACAATAAAACCTCCCGAGGACAAAAAGGGTGGGCACAGGACTGACCAGAGTCCCAGGGCAGTAAAGCCTTGCAGTATACCTGTCGGTGTCTCCTGTTCTACACCTGATGGACAGTTTAACCCAAGTAGAACAAGCAGAAGCACACAGCAGAGAAATATACACCCTACTTGAATCTGCTTTCATTTAGAAGTCTACTAATTCAGTGACTGATGTTTCTAAGTTACAGTTGAGAAGAAGACCAATGAGCACCTGTCAGAAATACAGCCTTTTCATTTTTTCACTTCCAGCCATGGCCCCAAATTATTTTATTCAAAAACTACTTTCTTTTTCATTAAATATCAGTTCAGAGATTTCAAGCACAATGTTTTGTTTGTGACCAATACCTTATGTGTGTCCTCACGAACTTCCTTAGTGAAACGTTTAATCATTCTCCGAACATAAGTCTCAAACTCAGCTTTCCTTTTCTCTCTGAAAATAAAATAAAAAAGAAAATAAAAGGATATTATGGTTTCTTGTGTATCTGCCTTCCTAGATTCCTGAGCTGCTCTCTACCGCCTTCCATTTTCACCTTCTCTCTCTTCTCTTCAGTTGTTCTGGGGTTTCAATCTCTATCTCAACAGAGTTGCTTGGCAGCACCGCTGCTGGAAGAACAGCACCTTCTTCTAACTTATCCATGACAGGCTCCTGGAGTTCTGAGAAAAAAAACAGAGTATTACTAGATAATACATGAACAGTGAATAATATGGCAACAAATAGTCAAATTCAAAGCACTACCTTTAAGGCAGCAGTTGTATGTTTCTTTCCTGCTTTGGCACTATTCCAAAGTGTTGTGAGATAAGAGCTTTTAATACAGATACACACGTGAAGCATACTCTTAAGTATACAAAGTATACAAAATGAGGAATGGCTCAAAAAGCAAATTAGAAAAGAACCTATTGCATACAAGGATATTTACAACTTAAATAGACATGCAGTTGTTACCCTCCACGTCCTCCCATTCATCTTCACTTTCATCATCATCATCAGTATTGTCTTCATCCATCTCTTTTTTAATTGGAGGTTCTCTCTTCAATTTTATCTCCTTCTGAGGGGCCTTCAGTGAGTCACTATTAAAATTACAAAATTGGTTTTAGCAGCAGGAAGTGCAGGGGTTTGTTCATTTAAAAATGGAAGAGAAAGAAAACAAACATGAGGAAATAAATGAAGCATCATCTCTGCATCAGTAACAACAGATGCGAAGGTTTTGAGTATTTGACAACTGAACCGTGTGTGTCTGTAAAGTGAGCCATCTTTGCCATGAGTAACTGCAGAATAACTGCTGAGCAACAGTGTTTCAGTACAAACACAGGTCCTGGTTCTGACAGGTTGTTTGAATGAAAATGACTGAACGTAAAAAAAATGACCCATCTTTCCTAAGAGCTTGTATGAATGAGTTCATTCAATCATTTCTCTTGACTGAGACTTCACAGCATAACACCCAATGATTTGGTTGGCCAGTGAAATGATACTTATTGCTTTTATTCTTCTCATTAATACATTCCTCACAGAAATAGAAATACTACCTTACAATTATGACACCGATTTGAAAAGGCTCAGATATTTGCTTCCCATGCAGACTGCCTTCCTGAGGCCGATCTTGCCATCAGTGGGGCAGTACTTCTGTACAGCTGTGTGTCACAGACAAACTAAACCAGCCTGCCAGCTTAACATAACCCCCTCACATGATCATCTGCAGCAAAGGGCCCTACACAACATCCAGCCCACAATGAGCCACAGAGAGCATGTAATCATGTCGAACAACAGGTAAGCTCACCTGCACGTTTGCTCTTTGTGACAAGTCCTTTTATTTTCAGGGCTTTTCTCATTTTCTTTTGCTCGCCGTTTTTGTTTTGAAGGCTTATCTGCTGACTTGGCAACTCCAGCATCACCATCGTCCTTCTTCCCAGCTGCAACTCCGGCTCTGCTCTTCTTTACGCTGGGTTTTTCCTCTACAAAATCACCTGCATCGGAAAGAAAGACGTTTTCTTTGAGGACACGATCTCAGCCCTACGGATACCCGCAGCGATACCTCCGCAGGCTGCAGCCTCCAGCCTCGGCCAGGCGGAACGGCGCCGTCCGTCACTGGGGGCTGCCAGCTCCGGGCTGGCTGGCTGTCTGACACCCCCACCCTAGGCACAGAAGCCGGGCGTCCCGCACTCACCCTCCTCGCGTTCCTCCTCGCGTTCCCGCCGCGCTCCCGCCCCCCCCGGCCGCCTTTTGCCGGGAGGCTCCCGCACGACAGATGATTTGCGCTTCCTCGCCATAGCGGCGAGCAGCCCCGCCCCCCTCGGAGGGGAAGAGGCCGGGCCATAAAGTCTCGCGAGAGAGCGCGGGAAGCGGTTTGAAAGATGGCGGACGAGGTGGATCAGGTGAGCGGATCCGCGGTTCTCTCCGGGCGAGCGGCGCCGCTGCGGCCGGCCCGGTGGCGTGGTGAGGCGGCGGGGGCCTGAGGAGAGGGCGGGCGCTGCGTCTGCATGCCTTCGCTCTGCCGTGCGGGTTGTCTGCTTCTGTGTGGATGCCGGGATTTGAGGGAGCGTTTCAGAACGCCTGCTCGCAAAATGGGCAGTGAAGGAGTTGGCAGGCCGCTCCTGTGTGAATAACTCCGATTGTTTCGGTTTTGTTTGCAGCAACAAACAACAAATACCGTCGAGGAGCCCCTCGATCTCATCAGGCTCAGTCTGGATGAGCGCATCTACGTGAAGATGAGGAATGACAGAGAGCTCAGAGGCAGGCTGCACGTGAGTACTGATGCCCTGTTATTACAGCCATCTGCTGTGCAGTGCAGTGTGCTCAGCAGCGATGCTTGGTTTGTGCAGTGCTCTGCCAGAGGTTCTGAAGGTGCGTTTGTTTTTCCTTGTCATCTAAGTTCCAAGTGATTTGTTCCTCTGGTTTTGGCTTCTGTTTCCATGCCTGCGAAATAAGCAGTAATGATGTAGGCATCCTCTTGTAAGGGGCTTTCGGCTCTATTAAGAGGGAAATGTGTTTTATTAAGAGGGAAATGTGTTTATCACACAGCTATCTTGTAGGGCAGACCCAGGGACTCTGTGCTCTGTACTAAACTGGGTTCTCTCCAAACTTCATTTGTTTTGTGTCTCCTTTTGAGAGTGATGTGTCTCCTAGTGGGACAAACTTTTGTGTCATCCTTCTGGACTATGGTACTGTGCTGAGGAAGAGAACCAGTTTCCCATGTGTTAACTGGGCCTCAAATTCATTTGGGAACACAAAGGTGAGGACAGATCTGTGCTGCACTGGCATAATTCCTAACTTCCTTTTGTAGGGTGTTTGGAACATGTGCTTAATTAAAATTTTTGTACTGTTGTTTGAGTTACAGCTTTCATAGCTGTAAACAATCAATCCCAGAAAACTGGGCTGATAGCAAAGAACATGTAGTTGAATTAATGGATAATGACAAGAATAAGCTTGTCCACCTCTGAGAGTTTGTGTGTGTGCTCCAGAAGGAGAGTTTCAGTGAATATAAAAGCCTTACTTATGCTGTGGAGTACTGTACTGTCTGTTGGCCTTTGTAGTTGAACTTGCAGCTAACTGATATATCACGCTCACACATATGATACATTTTGGCCCAAATCAGATTAAAATAATTTTGTTTGTCTTGTTAAAATTATGGTTTTAATGAGTTTGTGCTTGAATTTTGGAAGAAGTAATAAACTTTGTTCTTACAGGCATATGATCAGCACTTAAATATGATTCTGGGTGATGTGGAAGAAACTGTAACAACAATAGAGATTGATGAAGAAACATATGAAGAGATTTATAAAGTAAGGACTTCAGTGTCTTTATCTCCATAGAAAACCTCACTTAAGCTAGATTGTCTTGTAGTCAAAATAATGTATTGATAACTGCACCTTTTGGGCTAAGATCTAGCAGATGTTTCAGGCAAACTGTTATGAGAGCACAAAGGACATCCATGTACTTGTTGATTTTGATATCTTCAGCAGAACAGGAAGTTGCATGTTTGACCTTACTTGTGTTGGAAGACGCTTCTGGTGTCTTGTTAGGATTGGATTTTGTCATGTGCTTAGCAGATGTGTTCTGTATACTGCTCCTTTGTAAATGTAATCTTTTCTTTGCTTCTTCATAGTCTACCAAAAGGAATATTCCGATGCTCTTTGTCAGAGGTGACGGCGTTGTGCTTGTAGCTCCCCCACTGAGGGTTGGCTGAAGCAACCAAGGATTGAACCTTCTTGGAAGGTTTCAGGCTCTTGGACAATTTGTTTTGATCATGTCTCAAAATTGTGTACACATTTTTATAGAATGTTTTTGCCAGTTCTTTGTGGAAGAGGAATGAGTTTTTCTTGCAGAAAGTACTTGTCAGCTGAAGCAGTGTAAGAACAACCTCATTTGCCCTGAATTACTGTAACTGCTGTAAATGAGCTGTGTGTGACATAAGTAAAAGAACCCTGTGTTTTTCAACATTGGGAATAGCGGTGTCTTTTTTTCTTTTAAATAAATTTGGTTTATCTTTCAGATTTGATGTGTTATGTTTTTGTTGAAAAGGCATATAGTGCTAATGCTATATTAAGGTGTGGTAGGTGGCTTCACTTCCTGAGAAAGCAGTGACTGGTGTGTTGTTTTGATTTTTGTCCTTACTAAAGTTTTGCAGATTGATGTTTTGGAGGAGGGCAACACTGTCAGTCTATGGTGCACCGATTTATAGCTTTTCTGGTGGTAAAATTCTGTAAACTTATCCTTGTAGGAGGGGAACTGTGTGTGTCCTACTTCAAATACATAAAGAGAATAGAATTCTTAGAGTGTTCTCAGATACTTCTATTGCAGCTTTGTTAGCAGAGCGATGCTCAGCAACACCATGAGTAGGAAACAAATTGAGTTGCCCATTGTATGCATTCATTTGCCACCATCTGTAGCTGGTTTCAGTTCTTGAATGCATTAAGTTCTGTAGAATGCCAAAGATGCTTCCTGGTTATCAGGGGTGCACAAAACCCTGCACACTGTTGTTTGTTTTTTTTAATATGTAGTTTCTCAGGCCTTCTCTACTTGCAGTTAATTCATGTGGGGGGGGAAAAAATGACTTGAATGTTTTACCTTTGTGGAATGACTATGGAATGTTTTACAAGTATGTTTGCAAGGCATACTACAGACATAGGTCCACTCAAGGGCATTTCTTGACGTACCTTGATGCACGGCTTTATGAACTTGCCTGGGTTCTTAGACATGTTCTGTACAATCATCAAAAGCAGCTTCCTTTGACACTGTCCTACAGTTAAAATTTTTCCTATCCTATGATGCCTAACCTGTGGCAAGGGTGAGAAATGCAAGGTGGAACTTTTTAAAGCAATAACTTATTTTGGCAATAAAATAGGTATCCTTCAAACTTGAATGTATACATTATACTCTGAAATGAGTAGGGACTTCAAGAAGAAAACCCACAAAAAAACCTCTGGCCTCTAGGTGTCCTTTGTTCTCAAAGTGCCCTCTAGCATTGGGATAGGAGTGATACCTGAAGCTGAAACTGAAGCTATTGCTGATAATTAGTGTTAATAGTGATTACAGTCTTTTGAATATTTTATCACATGCGTATTCTTTGCACTGCATTCTAGAATTGCAAGAATTTGTAACCTTAAAGCTGTTCATGAGGCTATTTTCACATATAGGTGTCTTGTGTGCAAAAGAAATTATCTGTACGACTGCTATTATTTGAATGAAGAGTGGGTTTTGCAGTCTTGTGAGTAGGCATCCCTCATCATACTACCCTGGATTTAAGTTGGTCGAGGCTAAATACAGCTGTTGTGTGTGATCCATGTGTGCCATCTCTGCAGGGATTGGTGGAGCTGGGAAACCACCCGTGGAATTCCTCCATGGACTCAGTGTTTCGATTTAGCCCACACAGGACGCTAGGTGGTGGTGTGTCCTCAAATTTAAGCTGGGTTGGCTTTGCTTGGTTTTGATGTATGTAGCCTGTGTCAACAGGCCCTCTGGTTGTGCAATTAGTCATTTGCTTTTAATTAGGATGGCACTTGCTGACAGTTTTAAATTAACTCTGCTGCTCACTCATAAGTCAAAATAAAAGTTTGTTTGGATGTTTATGCAGACACAGAACAAGCCTGCAGAAGGGTTAAGTAAAACAGTATGTGTGCCTTGCATTGTGAAATTGTAAAATGCTTGAACTCCAGGATAGTAGCATTAGCTGAAGGTGTACACCATTCAGAATAAGCTCTGGTTTAACCACTTTGCTGCTGAGCACTGCCTGAGATGAGCAGCACACTGCTGTGTGTGATACACAAAGCTGCTTCTACAGCCACTGATTCAAGTGCCAGTTGTATGGCTGCCCAGGAACTTCATGGGGAAACTTCATGCTTTTAAAATTCTGCAGAGAAAGTCTCTGAATGTACGTACATTAAACTCTTGAGGTAAAGGATCGCATTTTATTTCTTGTGTATTTCTCTGCTTTCTTCTTGAACCCAGGTAAATTTATTTTGTTCCAGTCTACATAAACTCCAGCAAGACAGAGTTTTGTTCTACTTCCTGCAGGCTTTTCCATGCTGTGCATATCTGCTTTTTATGTTTTCTATTCTGTTCCTGTTTTCCCCTCACAGGACAAGTCCAGGATTTGGTTTATGGGTTACAGCATGCCTTGGGGCTGTGAAAGTATTGATCATATTGGGATCTGTGCAACAACGCTGTCTTCTCTTGCTGTTTGTGATGCTTGCTGTGTAGGCAAAAATATATAGATTAGAAATCTATAATTTGAAATATTTGAGAGAATGGAGTTTATAATCCCATAGAGTTGTTATTAGAACTGGAGCACTGGGAGGGGAGCATGGTTCAGTGCAATATGACAAATGCTCTGCATTGTTTTTTGGGCTGATGATGACAAGTACAGAAAATCCCATCAGGCTAATTTAAGGCTTAAGGCATTCATGCCAAGATCATTGATGGGCTGAATACATCATTACTGAGGGTGTAGGACTCCCATGTTTCTAAACAGGAAGCTGCTTTCATATACTAAACAAAAAGAATGGAAAAGAAAAATAGAAAGTTCTACAGAAAATTGAAGCATAGTGTCTAAGCCAGACTTAAGGGGGGGAAAAGAATGGGTGGAAGGAAGAGAATGGGTGATGTGGGTTGGAGCGGAAAACAAGAACCACTGACGGAAAAAGATGTAGTCAGAAAGAGCTTATGAGTGATTTTTTTCATTGTTACCCAAATTAGTTTGAATGGAGGAGAGGCCCACTCCCAAATTTTGGAAACTTAGGCCAAAAAGCTTATTTAGTTTTACAATGGTGTTTGATTGGTTTATGATGTGACTGCCTGCAACAGCAAGGGACTAGGCCTGCTGGCTGGCTGTGTGGGTAGATAGAAGCATTGCAGAAGACCTCTAGAGGCTCCTATCTAAAGGAGGCCTTGGTGCTGCAGCCAAAGTCCTGCTCCTTTCTCACAGCTCTTGCAAAGACAGCTTATGCTTGTTGGTAAGGAAGCTGCACAATTCTTTTCTAGCAATGGTACTGTTAATTAAATGATTCATTGTCTGTTTGCTGCCTAATAGAACTCAATTCTGCTATGATAAATATTCATCTCTTCTTACCTAATCTGCAAAACTGTTGAACAGTAAAACCTCTCAATGTACATAATTGTCATCTGTGTATGTCAGTGAGGCCTATCACACTAATTAGTGCAAAATGCCATCTAAAATGTTGAGTAAAGAAGTCAGGCGATCCCTTCCCCAATCTGTCCCATGGAAATCATAAAAAAGAAAAATACTCATGGAAGAGAGTTCTGAAAAAAAGAAATTGCTGCTCTAAATCTAGAGTTAAAATGTGTAGAACATGGTGTTGTCATGATTGAACGCATTACTGAACTCCTCCAGAGCTGTCAAAGTTCATTGATAGTGAAAAAAAATGTAAGCCAAGTAAAGGATGCTCTAAGGCTGTATTTCTTTGTTACCTTTGCAGTGAATGACTGCAGCTTGGCTGTTGTCACATAATTGCTCTAAGTAGTCATTTTGTGCTGTAAGGTGAGCAGGTGAGGTAGTCCTAATAACTTCTGTAGCAGGTAGTTGTTCATTCATTGTGTGCTGCAGGTGGTGTGGGAAAGCAATGTGCTATTATGTTTTGTGACACTTACAGGTAGTACTTTCTAGTAAAGCATTTGCCTTCCCTTTTTTGCCCAGAAGTTGCCTTCTGGTGGTTAGCAGAAAGTCTGACGAAGAAATGAATTGTTAACAGGTAACATGAGAGAGCTAATTTGATTTGTCCTACATTTGTAATGCATTCCTCCCAGCTAAATTCCTGTGGGCTGAGGTGCTGCTTACACAAGGCCAGAGATACAAAGCTTTGTTGCTGCCCAGGAGAACTCACTGTAGTCAGACTGGATACGATTTTATACATCTTCATGCCAAATCCTCCAATAATTACTATGGCCTGTTGGCATAATTCAGGGAGTTCTTTCTGTATTGAGGCTGTCCTATACATAAAGCACAGTCCTCAATCAAGTAACAGACTTCACTCATGTTTAAATCTTAAGCCTTTAGTACGTGTCTCCCACTCACTGTCTGAAAATCAGCCTGAAACCAGCTTTGCTATGTGCGTGCTTCCAGATTCACAGCATACTACGGGTAATGCAAGAGATGCTTGTCCAATGTTCTCAGTCCTGGAGCCAGTTGTCATAGCTATTTTTTCTTAAGGCAGCGATGTTTATACAATGATTTTCCCCTCTCGTGTACGGTTTCATGAGCTATGGAGAAATATTTTACATACAGTGTTTCAAGTGTTGACTATGAAGTTTACCATGCGACATTCCAGTACTTCTGTTTTTCTCTTGGCTTTCTGTTGCCCTTAGGAGGATCGCACTGTTCCCTTTTTACAAAGGACTCTGACATGTCTGGAATGAAGCTTCCTGGACAGGCAGTTCTCTGTGGTACTGGTCTTGATGCACAGCTCTGAAAAAAGAGACAGCACTGTTCTTTCAAATGAGCACTGCTGCACAGAGTACATAATCAGTCAGACAAAAAGTAACAGCATCACTCTTATAGACAGATCTGCTGGTTCTGGATCCAGTATCTCTTCTACTCTCTGGAATAGTTTCCTTTTTTTGAAAGAGATGCAAGCCATCCACCTGATTCAATATAAGTGACTGATCGCAAACAAGCCGTGTCTAAGAAAGTAAGCAAACACTGACCTCATCTCCCTGGCATTTTCCCCGTTTGTAGCCTACAGCAAGTTATGTTATTTGTCAGCTTCCAGAATATACTCCAATATGTCTGCTTGTAACTGATGGGAGTTTTTTTTACCTCTTCAAACTGCAGCTGTAGTTTTGATCTGATGGTAATCTCAACGTGCTAGCGAGAGAAATGTCAGGCACGTGACTTATGTCACGTTCATGGTGACCTAATGTAAGTAGGGTACTGATCTACCATAGTGTTTGAGAGAAATTACTTTCTCCTCTGAATCTGATATCACAGTGGAGATCAGCTAGGAGACCTATTTGAAAGATCCTAAAACTCATCTAAA